GGTCTCAGCCAACACTTTGTCTCCATGTATTGCCCTATCTGTTGCAGCAATAAAAAGGCCTGACCCTAAGTTGGGGATCCCCTTGTAACCATATCATGCTGCTGATAGCTTCAGATGAGGGGCACAAGACCGTCTCTGAACTTGTCTGAAGTTGGACCTGAACTTGCCCAACTTCCAAACTTCCCAACTTCTTCCATGCTCACTGCTAACTTCTCTGGCTCTCCACATGCTTCCCTTGGCATCAGCTGACACTGCCCACAGCGCCAGAAGAGGATGTCCAGACCACCCCTGAACTTGTCTGAAGTTGGACCTGAAGCTCCTCAACTTCCCAACTTCCGCCAACTTCAGCCCCTCCTCATTCATCCTCCTCCTCCTGCATACACATCATTCAGCTCCAGTATAGCCCCTGCACAACTTCAGATCCATGGCATAAGACTGACCCTGGGAAGTTCAGGAAGTTGGGCCTGAAGTTCCTGAACTTCCAAACTTCTTGGTGACGAGCAACTTCCTACTCGCAATACTAACTTCCTGCACCATCCTGCTAGCTTCCTATGGAGCCTATAGCAGCTGTGCAACCCATCAGCAGGTCCCTTCCACTTCATTTCAAACTTCATGTCTCCAAACTTTGACGGCTCGAAAAGTTACAAAAGTTGAATAATTGTTGCAATTTTATTTGATATTCTGGGAGCCTGCCTATCAAAGGAAGTTGTCAGACACTCAAAAGGGGGGCACAGAAAATGGAGGCCAGGGAAACCCCTTATTACCCTAAGTACTGGCCCTCACCGGGAGGGCAGTGAGTGGCCGAGTGCCGTATCAAACGGCCTGGCCGGCGCCTCATTGGCGCTAAGCGGTTGCGCCCACCTCTTTGAGCTTGGGCCCCCACCGCCTGCATATCTTCGACCCCGTGGTGTTGCTGGTCGTGCCTGATGGCAACGAGCCCTCCACCACCTCTCCCGTTGCTATCCTTGAGGTATACGCTGGTTGTATAACCTCCTGCTGCTTTTCTGCAACCGTTAGACCCTGGTCGTCGAGTGGACTCGACTTGCCGACCGCGCTTCCAGGGCACGCGCACGTGGTCTGCGTGGAATATTCGCCACGCGCCCCACTCCTCCACTTGTGCCAGACCTGCCAGGAGTCTATTCCAGGCCTGT